GTGTGTGTGTGTGTGTGTGTGTGTGTGTGTGTGTGTGTGTGTGTGTGTGTGTGTGTGTGTGTGTGCACGCGCATGCACACGCGTGTGTGTGTTAGGGATTGTTATCAGAGCACAAGGAGCATGTACTGTATATATCATTTCATTAATTACTGTTCCGTGCTCTAATTATAATGCAGCAGGGACACATTCAACTCTCAGATCTATGCCTTTGCTAAACCTCCATACCATTTCCATTGTCAATCACGCACACACACACGTAGACACACAAAAATAGAGAGAAAAAAAGCTTGTTTTCCTCCTTTTGAAAATCAGACCTGCTCCCTGCGCTCTCCATGCAGCTGTCACTCTTCTCTTTCTTCATCTGTCGTCAGCTTTGAGTTGATTCTTCTTCACTAAAATGTCTGGAAAGCAATGCAGAAAAACGGGCAACAGATTTGAAATCTGGGTTTCTCCTGGAGAAGCATCAGAAAGGTGTTTAGGGGATATAGAAGACAGGTTGCAGGTAAATCCGCCTCATGATCATCACAAAACAGGATTGCATCGAGATGCAATATCAGTGATGGAAGTCCAGCTTTAAAGGGGAAAGTCTCAAGTGTGCACCCAGTTATGCGCAATTTGTAACTGAAATGGAGCAACAGAGAGTTCTCATAAATACCGAGAAGGATCAGAGTGCACATAAAAATGTTTGTGGACTGAACAGCTTTTGGGTGGACTGCTAAATATGAGAATACCTGACTGTACAAACATTGGAGATAAGTCAGCTGAATGCATAATATAAACCTCAACACGCTGTGTACGGTTTTGGAATGAGGGCCAAAAATACATGCCATTTGCAAATGCCCTGAAACATTGCACAGAAAAGCCTTTTCTCTGTTATTTCTCATTAGCTGTTGAATTTGACTCAGAATTTAGGGAGCTTAAAGATGTTTCATTTATATGCACATAACTTAGAAAACCGCTCGTTGTGCATGTTGCCTAAAAGGAAACAATACCACAAAGGAATCTGACTTTGCCACCACATTGCTATTGTGTACAGAATTGCAATAACTAGCACAGAAATAGAGATGTCAGCATGATTAATTGTGTTCTGCAACTCTTTTAAAATTTAACCTAGATTTAGATGCTAAATATACCAAATTCAAACATCTCGATGCACAATTTAATTCATTTCTCTAAGCAGTGAAGTGATTTCTGGGGTTCTGATCCATTATTTTTTACGCTGCTACCTCTTTAGCATCAAAGACTGGATCCTGGTGCACTTATTAAAAAATGGTTGCAATTCTAGTTTTCACTAGACCCTATTTAGCCAACCCGCCATACCTAAGACCGGTTTTGATATTTAATTCAGTCTCAGGGTTTCCACTGTGTTCAAATGCCACGCTAGGGCTCTGCTTTTAATCATACCTAAGTAAGAATACAGAAGTGCTCATTCTGCAGAGAAATTATAGATGTGACCATAAACACTAAATCTAACGGCAGCTGTATGCTGGATCATCATTCCACCTTCCCTATACAGTCATAAGATTTAGGTACTAAATGAAAAGCTAAGAAAACTTGTATGGGCACTAAAATTTTCCGTGCAATAAGCTCATTTTAGTACAACAAGGTGAGAAGTTCACCGAAGAGAGGATTAACTCTGAGCCAGACTCCTGCTTTCTCTGTACTGAGGAGTCAGCTGAGGTTTCAGCTCCTATGAAGCAGCCCCATAGATGCCTCAGTTTTGCCTCAGTAGGAGTTAGGGGGGAAATGGAGGCGAAGAGGACATCTGGTGGATACAGAGTAAATGTGATCCTTCACACAATCTGGAAGATAAAGTCCTTCCTGTACTACTCTGTGGTATCTGTGTGAGCACAAAGACACTGGGTGGTGGGATGGATTAAAAATCAAAGTCTCATGGGCACATGTCAATTTTTCTTTCTTCTTTTAAATTGTTGAGAAAATGAATGACGTAGATTTTTTTTAAATAAACTGAAGCATAGACAGACGTACACACCAGGACTGCTACCCTAACACTTGGATACTCCTTATTAAAGACTGGAGAAGCAGGATTGTCTGTTTGTCTAATAAAATTAGTCTGACCTTTAAGTTCATGAAAATTTTAATATGCAGTGAAAGTATGAGCGACATAACCATGCTCAATACAGCGCTTTAACTACAAAGTAAACCCTTTGGCGCCATCTAGTGACTGAAGGTCGTGAACGCTGCTTTCACAAATACACAAATACACCAGGGAGAAAATACAAAGACTTTATTACTAAAAATCAAAAATGACAATTTCAGTTTCCAGCCATCTGACGAGGTTTTATATTCATCGGCACAGTGGGATTTCACACTGTGAGCTTAAACACTGCTTTTTCAAGTTTGCCTTTCCCTGCGCAGCGAGCATTGCACTCAAAATGTATTATGTTTGACTACCTGACACTTTAAACAAATGAAGCTTTGGTGAAAATTCTATTCAATACACTGGGCATCCCTCCTCTTTATTCTATTATTTATGCTTTGATCTGCTTAACCACTCCCTCCAGAATGTGCCTCTTGATTTGTTTCTGGTGGCGCTATATGTGAGCTAATCAGTCTGCTGTGGCTACTTTTTAATGTATATGCTTCATTCACTCTTTTAAGCCTTTGATTATCCAGCCTGCATCTCTAAATCTCTTTTATTCCACCATCTAGACACTCAAGCATCCTTCCTCTTTCTATTTACCTAATTTCTGTGTTGTCAGACTTAATAAACATCTTATGCATTCTGTACTTATCTCTGCTTATTGAAGCACAAATCAAGGACAAGATAAACTGGTGGAGCAGTTCAGTCAATGTAACATTTGACTCATTCACTCTGTACAATGACGGGAGTCCAGTGTTATTCCTACTTTTCATAATATTTATAATGTAGTGTAACGTACCACACTCGTGACTCCGGAACATGGGGGGTAAAATGCACCTGATCTTGGTTGTGTGACATTTTCCTTTTTCAGCATTGGTTAGTGTAAATACAAAATTTGAACATTAACATATTTTCAAGCTAAATTACAAACATATAAACACGTGTGCATACATAAAGTATATAATATAGAAATACATATAAGCCTTCTGTTGGTACCGAAAGTGTGACTTTGCAATATAGTTAAATCGTTTTATAACGGGTTGTCCGGATACTGATTTCTAAAGGGAAACCACTTAAACTCATATCAGCAATAACAAATTGTCAGTGTGCCTGGTTAGTGTGGCTGGTAGGATGCATTTAAGAAAACACAAGGCAGTTATGGAGAGCCATTCACTGTAAAAAGGTGTGAGATACCTTCAACCACTCACAGGTTTGTACTGAAATGTTCAAGTGGATGTGTAGTTCAGGTGTGCCACAGGGCAGATCCTGCCAATAAGACACTTTGGTATTATGAGAAACTTTTCCGTTATTAGTTCCACCTAAAACTGCCACTGCCTGTGCCTGTGTTATATTTCAACCCCGTTCCAGTTTTGACTGTGAAGTCAGTGGAGTATTCGGTGTAGGTATCTCTCTGGTTTGTTCTCCCCTCCTCTTCTCAGTACTGAATTGGATCTGACTGGTTTCTCGGGTGTCATTGCAGGGTCCTGGCTCTCATTTAGTACCACTGAGGACCCTACTCTTCCTGTTCCTACTGAGGTGTGTCTTCGGGGCTCTGGACTGCTCTGTGCTCCTGCCTCAGAATCACTCTCCTCGCTGGGATCTTTCCCCTGGCTGCTTGGTGAGCTCTCCCCAATCCTGAGAGACAAAAATTCCTTTCAGATTCACGTAACTGAAAGGTTGAGTTTTTTGAATATGTGTTAGGTTAGCAGTGTTTCTACCTGAGGTGGCTGAAGGCACGCAGCCAGTGTGTGCCCAACGCATCCCTTCCATTAGTCCTTAGCCCTTTGTGGTGGCTTCGGGCCCTCAGTCCTATTAAGGCCTTAGCAAGTTCAGCCTCATCTCCGTGGCCCCAAATTAACTGGGCCCTCTGCTCAGCATCCTGGTCCCCTGCTGCCCTGAAGAGCCTCTGGAGCTGCCACAGATTCACATTGCTGAAAATGTTCGCTGACCCAGCCTTTCTGCTCCTCCTCTCAGACAGACGCCACAATGTGGAACGGCCCGCCAACATGGAGGAAGAAGGTGAGGCGGGTCCACTATCCATCCAGAGAAACACAGGCAAAGGTGGCATACACGGGGTCTATGCTGTGGAGAAGGAACGGAGAGTTTCAGCTCTGACATGAAGGGTGCTTAGGTTCTTAAATTCAGATTTGATTTAAAAAAAACAACAACAACAACACAATGGTCATGCCATGTGGAAATCTACAGCTGTCAAAGCACCTGGCAGTCAGCTGTGAGTCTTGAAGTTTGATTCTATAATCCTTCTTTAGGAAGTGAGTGACAGGCTGCACGTCAAAGCCCATTAGACTGCAGATGGTAACCTTGTCTTGCTTTCACATACAGTGAGCTTCTGAGTGGGATACTACCAGATAGATAAGTCATCAAGGTCATGACTGATCATGGGTCAGAGCACTCACTTCAGTGACCTCAATAAAGGTGTACTTACCGCCTTCCTGCACAGCTTTCATCTGTAATCCATCTAATAGAATTACTTGTTTAATCCAGCCTGCATTTGTTCTGTTTAAGTCCAGCATTATTTATGTACATTAATGTCTCAGATGTATCAGCTCCTGGCCAGGAAGGAAATTCCCCACACTCTATGAACCAAGTTTCATTCTGTAAAGGTCCACGTCTGCTTTCCCTGTTACACATTAACTATTTTGTTCCACATGTTTCATAACCGTAGAAGCCTCGGACAGTTTCCTGTGCTCTGTGAGTGTGTGTCATCACAGCCAAACTATAAACAAGAATTCACATTGTAAGCTACTTTGCATGACATCCAAACACTGACGCTGCGGTGTGCGGCTTTAACGCAATGTCGCACATCTACAGAGCTGTTTAGCGTTCGCTTTAAAAGTAGGTTACACCAACCCAAACCCAAAGTCACTGACTTCTCCTTTCATTCCCCGAGCTGCGTTTACTGTTTGCATAACAAACAGCTGCGGATCACTGGTGCAGACAACCTACCGGGTCGCTTTCAAAATGAACGCTTCTAGAAAAAGTTCAGTTGATCCTTGAAATAACCTTGTTTTTTAAAAAATAAAATAAAATAAAATAAAGCAACATGCATGCAGAGAATAAAAAGTAATAGCCCTAATCCGCGCTGTGTTCGCTGCCCTGTGGGCAAAAGGCAGCAAACAAGAATCTCATGAGAGTCATGTGGACAATAAAAAAGCTTCTGCTTACCCGGAGATGATACCGAAATGTTCACTTTTCTTCTATCGCATCTCTCTCTTTCTCTGCTTTGTATTCATCGGTGTGCCTATTCCACTCAAAACTACTCCAGCCGCTGCAGGACCGGGTTTGCCCAGCCTCCGCGATCATTAAGTGTCCTCGGTCTGGCTGTCAATCACAAATAAGATCTGAAGTATATTCTACTCCAGCCTGTCTGGGCTTGGTCAACGTTTTCGCTCCACCAATTCCCGCTTTAACTGGGTGGGACATGTCATTGGTCCCGCCTATTGGCCACGTAGGGCGTGCGCACTGAAATCCATTGACGTCAATGAGCCTGGCTGGCACGAGAAGCATCTGTCAATTATGCGAGAAAGAAGCAACATGTGATAATCCTGCGCCTTACACACGTAAACACAGTGACGCAGGGGGCTCATAAACACTGGTGCTGTACGAACAGACGGTGTATTATCATGGCATGTTAGAGCGGAAAGGCAAAGTGGAGAACAATGCCACATCTGGATAATAAAGAAGAAAAATAAGCGCTTCCCGCTGGTTACCTATTAAACAAGGGCTTGGCACAACGGGTAGCCTATATTTTTGATCTGGCAGATTTTAGACCGGATGCCCTTCCTGACGCAATCCCAAAGGGATGTGTGTCTCCTCCTGGAATCGAGGCATGGATTTTTCAGCCGAAAGAAACTAAAGTTTCTTGGCTCTAAAGTTGAAGCGTCGAGGTTTGATGTTTGTACATGCATGTTATACATTCCGTCACACTGGTATATAAAAAGGGGAACTACACGAGGAATCTATCAGCGGATGGGTGAAGTGTTCGTTCAGTCCAGCAGAGGAGGAGCAGGCTTTGAATTACAGGCCACCCCCTATCCATCTCCCAGCCCCCCTACACAGATGCAACATTCAACGGAGGAAAAACGGAAAAGACGAAACACACAAGAAGGTTTATCATTTCAAAACTCCGGAGCTGTGGAAAGAACAGAGAGTTCCTTTTTAACCCCACACTCACCCGCTTTTGTCCCACCAGAAGCCCGGCCCTCCAGGCCTTTTATTTTCACACTTTGCCCATCTTTTCCCCAGCTGTTTGCAGCTGGCAAAAAAGCACCCGCCCTGTTCGGGAAAAAGTGGACCGAGAGTGACCGGAGGAGGAGAGAGAACGATGCCACCCGAACCTCCCCAGCCGCAGGTGAGGGGGAACATCCTGAAGTTCCTCAGGAGTTTTATGGGAATTACGCGGATCCTGCAGATCGTGTTCGGAGCCTGCCTGTGGGTAACCATCGCCGCCAACAAATACGGGGGGTCTATCCACTTCGTGCTGTTCGTCGCTGTCTTCTTTTGGCTCCTCACCCTGGCCCTTTTCTTCCTCACCCTGCTGGACAAGCAGGACCTCGTGCCTTTGCTGGGAGGGGATCGCTGGTCGTGCACCAACCTGGCGCACGACGTGGTCGCCGCGGTGCTCTACCTGCCGGCCATTGGCGTCATGTTCCACAATACCAATCGAAACTCATTCTGCAACTTGCCTCAGTACATCCATCCATGTCTGTACAAAGTCTACCTGACAGCCGCTGTGTTCGCCTGCTTCTGCTGGCTGGCTTACCTCCTGTCCGTTATTTTTGGAGCGTGCAGAAAGTGTCAAAGAGGGTGAAATGTTGAGCAGCGTGGAAGCTTAAGGGTGGTCATGGCAAGATGAGGAATAGTTAACGTCACTGTAATTTCACTCAGCGGTTACTCTAATCTCTGTTTTCTCCTCTCTCTTAACAATCCACGGTGGTGGTGAAACAGGATCGGCCACCGTTTTCTCGGTGTGTGTTTGATGGTTACTAACATGAAAGAGACCTGTTGGTATGGTGGCTAAGTGCCGTGTATTGTCTCCTTGTTAAACTCAACAATAGCCTTTGTAGTTATGAAGACTCTTATAATATTAATGTATGGACTTGTTATTGTGGCCTAGCAGTATATTTAGTGGTAACAGTGAAATGGCCTTAACATAGCCTACATTTTGCAGATTACGGTACTATTGATACTTGTTAACAGTCCACCTTAAACTTTTTTTAAATAGAATTGCTACAGTTGTTTTAACAGGGGTTTATTTTCATTACCTTTTTAAATATATTTTTATGTTTACTTATTTTTTACTAAAAGGTTGGACTGAAAAATCAGTTTGTTTGTTTGTTTGTTTGTTTGTTTGTTTGTTTGTTTAAATCAGTGCCTTCTGTCCGAATGCTGTATACTCAACAACAAGGTGATAACAACAACTCCACAACACAGATGTGACTGGTGCTACAGTGTGTATGCTGAACAAAAACCTTTATCAACAGTTCATTGTGTAAAAATCCAAAGAGCAAAAATTAGGCTTTTATAATAAAGACTAGTCAGTCAGTGAGCTCTTTCTTTCATTGTGATCGTGTATCAGTGCTTTCAGATAAGCTGCTTCAGGACATTGTTTTAATTAAATCTGGAAACAAAACCGGATGAAGAGCACACACAGCACCGAGCCTTTTGTGGTCTTTTTTTTTTCTTTTTTAAATGAAACACATAATTAGAGCTGAACAGCAATGGAACTTCCTTTCAGGAGATTAAAGCGTCGGCCAATCAGCAGGGATCATTTACATGCTATGCCACAAAACCACATGAAAGACATCAAACCTTAGACCTATGTGCTTCTTGAAGTAAAATGACTCATTCGAAGGGGCGCAAACAGAATGCATGCGCTGTAGGATAGAGTTGTCTGGGAGTTATCCTACTTTGCAAAAGATGTCTGAGTGCGTGTGTTTAGTCTCGCGTGAACAATAATCTGGGAAGAGGCTTGTTCTTACCGGAACAGTCTGTTGGGGTTCTGGAGGTGGGCTAACATTCAGCCAATGAAAATAAAGCCCAGTGAGTTAGAAGATGATTTGATGTCTCATATATTCCAGTCAGCATACAGTTCCTAAAAACATGCTGCAGACAAGTTGCTTGAACAGCACCTAAAACTACATTCTGGCAACTTTTTGACCACCTTTATTCAAAAGAGGCTGATTTGTACTGATATGCTGCATCCTCATTGCTGATATGTAGTTAAAAAAACACAAACACACACTTTTCCTTTTTTGGACTTTACTTTTTTTTGCCTTGCATACTGGCAACAAACCATGATGAGTTTTTCTTGGAGAGGAGCGCAAGGATGAAATGTCGTATTATTACCGCTCCAAATTTTAGCATCAAGTGCCAGAATAAAGGCAACAGCCATGCAGTTAGTGGATTATAGATCAGCAGTACAATTGAATTATTATCTGAAAAAGAGCTGAAAAAAAATGCTTTTGATTTTGGGAAACATCTGTGGCCAGAATTTCCGGAGTGAAAGGGTTAACATTAACCAGCTGGAGCATCAGGATATAAATCTAGTGCTTCTAAAGGAGGGAAGGAGCCCCCCTTCCACACACGCACACATGCACCCCTCCCTTCCCCCTCTGAGATCAGGAGTGTCGTCCTGTCCACGTGTCGGCGCCTGTGGGAAAGCACTGTTGTATACAACCAAATAGAGACGGCACATAACAGCCCACTTTAAACAAAGCAGTATCAAACTGAAGCCATGGTTTCGGTTTGATACTGAAAGTACCCACGGACAGTCAGTTCAAGTTTTGGATGACTCACGGTGACAGTGGACGCTCACAGTTAAGGCCACAAAAGGAGTCTCCACATTTAAACCTTTAAATTTGACCACATTTACAGGCCCCTCGTTGACCGCAGTTTAAAGATCTTGTGTTTTGTGAATGAGTTCATTGTGAGTTTATTTCATAAACATTACATCGATTGTGCAAACAATGAACCCATTTAATCACAGGTAGTGAGACTGGAAACTTACTGGTGTTGGTGCAACAAGGGCGAGGTTGTTGTTTTGGGGGGTTTTTTTTGTTTGCTACAAGGGGCGAAAAGAAAACCCAGACACATAGTACATATAGAGTCAGATCATACCCTGGAGTGCCAACTGTGTGATTTTTTTCTGGCAAGTCGACCAAAGAGACGTTTCCTGTATGCCTGCGTGCGCTCTCCCACCCTTTTGCAAGCAACCAAGTTATAAAGAGTTCCTCTGCCTCTCCTTGGAAGCACAGCAGCCTGTTACAAACTGCAGCCGTGGACTGATGTCACAGAAAAACTTTATTGATCTAACAAGGAGGCCAAAAATGGATAACAATGACATGACTATGTCTTATGGTTGTAATTAAACCACTGGTAAGAAGACCAACTCCAAGACTGTCTTGTTTTTTTGTTTAAAAACAAAACTTTATACTGCCAGATGTACAGTATTTAACAGGTTAGATGAACAGGAGGCTCAGTCTGGCTAAATTTAAAAGGAACAGCACACCGTTTGGAACTGTATCACCTCTCTTTGATTTTCATTTGGAGACATTTTCTTATTTTGAAAATTCCACACGTGCAGTGGAAGCAGTTTTGTTGCTTCCTGTCCACAAAAGCGGTGAGTAGAGCTGTTTCCTCTAATATGGGAGGAAACATACAGTGGGGCAAAAAAGTATTTAGTCAGCCACCGATTGTGCAAGTTCCCCCACCTAAAATGATGACAGAGGTCAGTAATTTGCACCAGAGGTACACTTCAACTGTGAGAGACAGAATGTGAAAAAAAAATCCTGAATCCACATGGTAGGATTTGTAAAGAATTTATTCGTAAATCAGGGTGGAAAATAAGTATTTGGTCAATAACAAAAATACAACTCAATACTTCGTAACATAACCTTTGTTGGCAATAACAGAGGTCAAACGTTTACTATAGGTCTTTACCAGGTTTGCACTCACAGTAGCTGGTATTTTGGCCCATTCCTCCATGCAGATCTTCTCGAGAGCAGTGATGTTTTGGGGCTGTCGCCGAGCAACACGGACTTTCAACTCCCGCCACAGATTTTCTATGGGGTTGAGGTCTGGAGACTGGCTAGGCCACTCCAGCACTTTCAAATGCTTCTTACGGAGCCACTCCTTTGTTGCCCGGGCGGTGTGTTTTGGATCATTGTCATGTTGGAAGACCCAGCCTCGTTTCATCTTCAAAGTTCTCACTGATGGAAGGAGGTTTTGGCTCAAAATCTCACGATACATGGCCCCATTCATTCTGTCCTTAACACGGATCAGTCGTCCTGTCCCCTTGGCAGAAAAACAGCCCCATAGCATGATGTTTCCACCCCCATGCTTCACAGTAGGTATGGTGTTCTTGGGATGCAACTCAGTATTCTTCTTCCTCCAAACACGACGAGTTGAGTTTATACCAAAAAGTTCTACTTTGGTTTCATCTGACCACATGACATTCTCCCAATCCTCTGCTGTATCATCCATGTGCTCTCTGGCAAACTTCAGACGGGCCTGGACATGCACTGGCTTCAGCAGCGGAACACGTCTGGCACTGCGGGATTTGATTCCCTGCCGTTGTAGTGTGTTACTGATGGTGACCTTTGTTACTTTGGTCCCAGCTCTCTGCAGGTCATTCACCAGGTCCCCCCGTGTGGTTCTGGGATCTTTGCTCACCGTTCTCATGATCATTTTGACCCCACGGGATGAGATCTTGCGTGGAGCCCCAGATCGAGGGAGATTATCAGTGGTCTTGTATGTCTTCCATTTTCTGATGATTGCTCCCACAGTTGATTTTTTCACACCAAGCTGCTTGCCTATTGTAGATTCACTCTTCCCAGTCTGGTGCAGGTCTACAATACTTTTCCTGGTGTCCTTCGAAAGCTCTTTGGTCTTGGCCATGGCGGAGTTTGGAGTCTGACTGTTTGAGGCTGTGGACAGGTGTCTTTTATACAGATGATGAGTTCAAACAGGTGCCATTCATACAGGTAACGAGTGGGGGACAGAAAAGCTTCTTACAGAAGACGTTACAGGTCTGTGAGAGCCAGAGATTTTCCTTGTTTGAGGTGACCAAATACTTATTTTCCACCCTGATTTACGAATAAATTCTTTAAAAATCCTACCATGTGGATTCATGGAATTTTTTTTCACATTCTGTCTCTCACAGTTGAAGTGTACCTCTGGTGCAAATTTCTGACCTCTGTCATCATTTTAAGTGGGGGAACTTGCACAATCGGTGGCTGACTAAGTACTTTTTTGCCCCACTGTATAATCATATGATGAGTGATTTTAAAAAATTGATTGAAATTCTGTCCCTGATGCCTTACATTGACATCTGGTCAGGATGATTATGGACAAGAGGAACCGAGAACATAAGAAGTGATCGAAATACCTTCTGTATAATTTTAAGACAGACTTGAAATAAACATGCATCCATCTTTTGAACATTTTGGGATTTATACATGCTCAGCATTATTCAAATGGAAATGTTCACATTTAAGAAACATTCACTTTAAAACCACATCCTTCTCCTTTTACTGAGCCTAGTCCTGATCTTCATCCCAGTAGATGATTTGGCAAAGCATTCTCACCAACCAGACCTGGTGGCCTATGACGCTGTATTTTTTAGCAGTAGGAGCCAACTCCAAGACTGGAAGAGGTCCTCCGTGTTCCTAGACACCCAAATTCTTGGTGGGTAACTCCCATTGGAAGTGTTCTGTTCTACCCATGTGTCCTATCAGTTTGTTTGGCTCTTTATTTCCTGTTGGCAGACATCGTGTCTCACTTGGGGAGGTTACGTGTACTCAGATGAAACATGAAAACACTGACAAAAGCACACAGCCGTGCCCTGTTAAGCACATTTTAATCGGCAAGTGCTGAGACGTACATTCCACCACTGCAGAGAGGGAAAGAGGGGCTGACAAACCAAATGAAGGCCAACTGAACAAGTGAATGAGCAGGGGGGGGGGAGATGTGCAAAAACGTCTTTGAGTTCCCAGCAAGAATCTGAGATTGACATTTCCTGTCTGTGTAAAGCATGAATCAGCACAGTGTTCTGGGCATGGAAGGTTTGTTTGCCAGTGATGTTTCAGTTTCTGGTTTCCTATGGTAACTGGGATTTCTTATTCTTATATCTGCTACAGCATTTTTTACCCAGACAATTTCTGAATGTTCGCAGTGTTCATGTGTTGTGCGAAGGGAATGTCAGCGAGTGGTGGGAAAGGATAATTGCTATTTATAGCCTTGAAAATACCACAGCTTCCCTCCTCAGTCTGCCAGTCCTTAGTCAAGATGTTGAGTGTGTTACAGAGTGAATGTGTCAGGAAAAAGGGGAGGGTGTGGTGAA